TGCTTCCAGTATCCCTGTTGATGCTTGTAGCATTCCAGGTGATGCTTGTAGCATCCCTGTTGATGCTTGTAGCATTCCAAGTGATGCTTCTAGCATTCTAGGTGATGCTTCTAGCATCTCAGGTGAAGCTACAAGCGTCCCAGGTGATGCTTCTAGCATCTCAGGTGATGGTACTAGCATCCACGTGATGCTACTTGCATCCTAGGTAATGATACTAGCATCCCAGGTGGAGCTCACTTTTTTTGACCAATACGTTGAAAAGTCGAAAAGTTGAAAACTCGAATAGTTGAAAGTTGAATAGTTGAAAGTTGAAAGTTGAATAGTTGAAAGTTGAATAGTTGAATAGTTGAAAGTTGAAAGTTGAAAGTTGAATAGTTGAATAGTTGAAAGTTGAAAGTTGAATAGTTGAAAGTTGAATAGTTGAAAGTTGAAAGTTGAATAGTTGAAAGTTGAATAGTTGAATAGTTGAAAGTTGAAAGTTGAAAGTTTAATAGTTGAATAGTTGAATAGTTGAAGAAGAAGTTGAATAGCCGTAAGCACTCTTCGGCTTCTACATGTATGGTATCCTTAGTAATGAGGATGTATCATCGAGCGATTTTCCTTCAATACTTAACTAAATTAAATGGTTTGATTTTATTAATAATATAAAGGGAAAGCACCGATGCAAATATTTATTTCGCACTGTACAGTGTTCAATAAAAGCACAGGTTTGCTTCAATAAACAAATTTGAATAGATAACAACTGATTAAAAGAGTCAATAATGATATATTCAAAACAAAAACAAACGTTTTCTATCTGACAACAATGGACAATCAAAAAAGTGATCACTAAACAAAACTCTATTTTTGTGCAAGTTTGTCTTTTTGCAAACACCTGTATATATTTCGAACAAAATAAAACTGAAAATATTGATTAATTTAGGTTGTCAATGCATCTGAAGTATGGTTTATAACAAATGGTCTTGATATTGGTATACCAAAATTAATTGGATCAACTTTTCGAGATGAAATTGTATGAAGTTTCTTTGATAAATTAAAAAAAAATTACTTTGTTCAAATATAGTTATTACGACGAGCTGATGATACATGGGCGAAACAGATGAATCGAGAACCGAAAGAACGTAAAACGTTAATTTTAATCGGAATTGCTTGTGATGATGACATTAAAGACTCTATTAATTTCCATTCAGCAAAAGATAAATTAAAAATGGTTAAAAAAGACAACTTTATTTTATAGTTCTATTTCAGTTTTATTCTATTTTTCAATAGGAAATAAAAGTACCACAAAATGAACGTGCACAATTATCATTAAACAGTGATCATACACATTTTATAATAATTCGTAAATCACCCATTGGTTCTAGTTCGACAAATATTTCAGAAACAAAACCAACAACAATCGATACTGACAATAAACTGTTAGAAAAAAAAACTGATTCAACTGAAAATATTACAAATAAATTTCGCAATCGTTTTGAAGCTTTTTTACATCAAGAAGTATTACAACAACAAGTTATGACTCCTACTAAATCACAACCACTAACAACCGGTATAAAAATAACTTGAATAAAAAGGAAAAAATTAATTGATTTGTTTAGATTGTCTACCGGTACTATTAAATAAATCTAATTTATCGAGTAAAGATGGTTTTCCAATGGTATGTACCTTAGTTCATGGTACACCAGAAACAATTGAACTTGTCTATCGAAAAATTCAACAAGAAATTTCTATTGTCGTATTTAAAGGAACGGGATTAGCTGCTGATCTTATTGCATTTGCTTATGAAGAAATAAATACTAAGTAATAAAACGAAAAAAATAAACAAGATTCAGTTTAAAGAAAAAAACGATTTCTTTTTAGAAATAAAAAAATATTCGAAGATGATTATTTAAAAGTTGAATTAACTCGATGTTTAGTTGATGAATATCCCGAATTAAAAGATAATAATCTTAAACGAAATGAAATTCGTAATTATGTTATGTCAATTGTTAAACAAGCCGATAAAGAAGGAAGAAAATTTATAACATTTGTTGATGTTAATAGTACAACACCATCATTAAATAATTTTCATAAATTTATTCTTTCAGCTCTTTTACAAGGTATGAATAAAGATTTTTATTCTTTTTGTTTTTATTATTATTTTTCTAATTTAGGACAAAAAACTATAACTGATGATAACGTTAATGTTGAATCAAAACAAAATGATAAATTAAAACGAATTGCTGAATTAGAGCGAAATGCTCAAATGAAACAAAATCTTCTATTAACACTTGATTGGAATTTACCGGATTTAGCTTTATCAGAAATTTTTCAACGTTATGATGGCGTGAAATATTCTATACATGAAAAATTATTTGAAAAAGCCATACTCGAAGAAAATCTTGAATCATTTGTTGATTTATTTCTTGATCGAGAATTTGTTCTACATCGATATTTAAATTCAGAAAAATTTATTTATTTATTTAATCAAGCAAAAGATAAAGATTTTTTTACAATAACATCAATTGAAGGAATTTGTAGTTTATCAGGAGTAAATAAGACAAAGAATTATTCGATATTCATTTTCTTTTTTCTATTAAATAGGATGATGACGAAGTAAGTGAAGATTTTATTAAAAAGGATCTTAATGAAATTATTAAACGTTTGACGGGTATCAGTGATTTTTTCTGTGAAAGTGAAATGGATAATAATGCTATTGGAATGTATTTTGGTAATAAATCAGACAAAGATATTCAGAAACTAAAGATAAGAGCAGAAAAGAAAGTAAAATATATTTTTTTGTTTAATGTTTTCACAGAAATTGTTTTGTTTTTGTTTAAAATAGGCTCTTCAACATTTAATTATATATGCTGTATTAATGAATCGACATCAATTAGCAAAAATTCTTTGGAAACGTTCATCAGAACCTATTCCATTAGCCTTAATTTGTTGTATGATGTTTAAAAACTTAGCACCATATTGTCACGAATCTTATCTAAGATCATTAATAGAAAAACAAGCCAAGTAAATTTTGAAAAAAAGTTCTGTTTATTTTTCGTCTTAAATACGATTCTTTTATTTATTTCAGAGAATTTTCCGATTGGGCTATAGGCATTCTTGATAAATCATCCAATGAAGATAGTAACAGAACATTTGAAATGCTTGATGAAAAACATCCAGTAAAAATTGTTAAAAAAAAAACAAAGTTCCTAAGAGATAAGAAGTATTTTAATTAAGGATTGGAATTATATGACAATTGTTGAATTAGCTTATCGTGCTGATAATCGAGATTTTATGGCACATCCTGTTTGTCAAAAATGGGTTACAAGACAATTTTATGGAGAAATAACACCACGTGAAGTTTCATGGGGATTATTTATTTGTCCAATATATCTAAAAGTTAGTAAGAAAAATTAGATCAATATGATACGAACGTTTTTTTCTTTTTATTGAATAGATCATATTGAGTGCCATTCTTATATTTCCAATGTGGTTTTGGATAAACTTTTCTCCAATTGGTCAAGCACCTTCGGTAGCAAAAAAAGATGCAGAAATAGAACCAAAACTTGATGGTTAGTTATTTTAATCGTTTTTTTTTAAATCAAAAATTAAATGGAATTTAGAAGGAAAACAATTAGATGAACAAGGCGATGAAGTAGCCGTTCCAGCAGTACGTATTTTATTAACACATTCATCATTATTTTCTACAGACTTGTATTTTATTGATCTATATGTTTTCTATCACACGCTCAGTAATTTAAAAAGACTCAGCTCAAATTACATAAACGAAAAGCTGTCGAAAGTTTCCGCCGCCTTCAATAGCTAGGCTCAGAAGTCTAAGAAATATTTTCAACAAAGTGAACAAAATCAAAGCGCAAGTCTTTCGGTGCAAGTTGCAGATATTTTTCGAATCATACCAGCTGTATACAGATCAAAATATGGATTGTAAACCAGAAGCATTACTTTATTACTTTCAAATTGCTGAAAAAACTGTCTTTCTGCAATCCATCCTTAAATTCCCGTTGGAAATCTTATAGAGATTATTAAGCATATTATAGACTCAAAACGTTTCACAGCCTATAATCAGAGTATATATACACTATGGGAGAAATTAAAATCTGCGGCAATTCTAAATTTCCCCGAAGCACCAATCCAAATTTTGATTTCTCCTGTACTATATATATGTGTACAGTTAATCATTCATGGTGAACTTTTATCAATCATTTTTTACGAATATGAAAAAAAGTCTTTTCAGAAGCATCAAAAATAACATTGTTTTGATTGGTTATATGATCGTAGATCTTCTCCAGCAATATTAAGTGTGTGTGGATGAGCATTGATTTTTTCTTCACCAACATTCACATTTGCACCAGAGACGTACACCGCACGCGGTCCATCTGCTCCTCAGCGGCAAGTATGACTCATTTTCGAGTGGCCGCTTCGCCTCTTTTTTGTTTCTCCAGCAGATGGTTCGCACCTCAATGATATCAAATGTTAAACTGTATTACAAGGGATTTTTTAAGAAGAGTGTACATCGAACGCTAAAAGTTAAGGGAAGAGATTTAATCGTTGACAGACTCATTCTTTTTGAGATACCATTTGTTTTGTTACTCCATCTTATACTCATTTATTAAATTTAAAACTGAACCTAGATCAATGTTGACCACAAATCATCCTGGTAACAACTCGAATTAATCTAAAACTTTATGAATTTCATTGTAACGAGCATGATATTTCCATTCACTTTGAACTTAAATTTATGCAAATTTACCCAAGCAGTCAAAAATGACAAATTAACACGTAAAAACAGCCACTTTTAGTTTTTCTCTCAACGCCGTGTACACTTCGACAAATGTCCGAATTTTTGCGTTTTAACAGTTGATATAATTTTCACTTTAACATCGTCAAACCCAGTGGAAAGAGAAACATTAAAATACGTTAATAAAATAACTGCATCAAAACGCAAAAATTCGGACATTTGTTGAAATGTACAACGCATTCGAAGGAAATGTTTTAACCAGTACGCCAGCCACCACGAAATAAACTAATATACTATATGGGCTACCCTGTATGTGCAGTAACAGAGACCAAGATATTCGAATTTTAAGATATGTTTAGTGTATGTACAGTGTTCACAATTCAAAATTTCAATAGTTTTTTTTTGTGTTTCTTAGATACAGTTTGTCGAATTACATAAGAAAAAATGCTTCAAGTTTTAGAAAAGCTTTACGAAAGTTAGAATTTTCGGTCTATTTTCCCTGATATTTGAAAATAATAACATGTTTGACTTTTTCCTAAAATTATTTTTTAAAACATGACACATTTTTTCCTTATGCAATTCGACAAGCTATATCTAGGAAATACGACAAAAAAAAACTATTGAAATTTTGAATTGTGAACACTGTACATTCACTAGACATATCTTAAAATTCGAATGTCTCGACCTCCGTCGCTACACATACAGGGCAGCCCATATATTATATTAGTTAGTTCAGCGGTGAGAGCTTCGATTTAATCCGAATATGTCAAATTTTTCTATTTACATTACAAAACCTTCGATCATTAGATAGAAATATTCAAACAAACTATATAAACATCAGACTTGACAGTAATAAGACATTGTTAAGAACATATGAAAGTATTTTATGTATTTTTGTAGTAGAGAAACAAAAATTTGTTTTTTTTCCTAAAGCATTTAATTTTAACTTCTGTAATTCTGTTGACAATTTCTTAGTTGAGCCATATTTATTACTAGATTTACTGATTTCTCATTTTACATTCAAGTAGCTATTCAGAAAATAGAAGGAACTAAAATCGATATGGTTTATTTTAAATTTTGTAGTAAATGGTCAAAGAAATTAAAACTCAATAGAAATTTTCTTTTCGCTGACTAAAGATATATTCGTATGTTTTTGTCTGACAAGTTTTTGTAATCAAAAGTGCATGATATATACGAGCTATCTGAATATTATAGGAAGATGGAATTCACAAATATTGACTAAGACTATCGCTTCTCACTTCGGTATCAAAATTCTTTTTCAACTTCTTAAGAAAAGCAATTTTTCTTTAACTAGCGCAGTTGTTCTGATTATTGTGGACTAAAATCATTATTATTTTTCACTATTGTTTTGTGAAAACTAGATTTTACATCCTCACCGGAAAATGAAACTAAGTCAAGTACAATGACTGCGATGGCTAAGTAATCGATTACTACCTTCATTTTATTACTCATCGATGCTTTATAGTACAGACAAAATACTGGAGAAATATACGAGTAACTCTATCTATTTAAGAATCTATTATTGAAGAGTGAAATATGTCGATGGATTTAACTGTTTACTAAGGAGAGAAATTAAAACAATTAGGTTTTTTTTATTTCGAAGTCGACAATAGGTTATTTTTTGTGTGGAAGTCAAAAGTGTATCTATTGCAATATTTGTGAATTTTTTCTTCATATATAAGCAACTCGAAGTTCATATCTTGTCACAAAAAAACTAACTTATTTGGATAAGGATCATCGACAGAATTTTATTTATTCTACATTAGTACTTCTGAAGATAATCTATCTATATAATACATAAATGAATGAATGATTGTCGCTTATCAATCGCAATATCTATGAGACAAAGGGGTCAAACACACTAGAAAAAGTGACTTAACTTAAGACAAATTTAAGCAACGTGATTGGTTAATTTAGACTTAAGTCATCTCAAAAAGATGACTTAAGTCTGACTTAACCAATCACATTACTTAATTCAATCTTAAGTTAAGTCAGTTGTCTCTAGTGTGTTTGACCCCAAAGAAACAAAGAAAGAGAGGAACAAAGAGCAGTCCATATAATAATCGATGGTGACCAATAAGAACACATGTATGATTAAATGGGGTGAATTAGCGCATTAAGTGAAGATATATTTTGTTAAATATCTTGAAATAGAAGATTAAAATATCTCGAATTTCTATAATTATTTCCATCAAAACATTTTTTTTCTTAGTACTGGAATATTTCTACGAATTTGTTCCAAAAAAAAATCTGAATTTGTTTAGATTTTACTCATTAGTGATAAATAATTTATATATTATAAAATAAAGAAAGAACAGCTCTGCATCATATTGTCGATTTAATTTGTTTTCGACTATATCCACTACACTGCTACTGTTTTTTAATTTTTTTAAAAATAAACTACAATAAAGGGTGTGTCCTAAGTTTTGATCTCTTCAAGTAATACTCGTTTGTTATATGTTTTTTCGGTAGAATAGGCTAATATTCACAGCATATATACTAGACATCTAAATCTACTCTACGCTAGAGTTTCAGCCTTCTACCTCTTATAGTCACAGAGATACAAGTAACTTAAAACTCCTATGAATTTCTTGAAATAACGGGTGAGTCAGAAGAAATGGCCACATTTTGCATTTTGTTTTCTCATCATCTAATATGTTATATTAAAGAAAAAAATATACCACAGGATGCAGCCTGAAAAACTCTATAATATACATAGTAAAGTTTATTTTAATTGTGTACATTTTGTTTTGAAAAAAGGAAAATCACAAAAAGATCACTTTTTTCTATATGAATGAAAAATTCATTTTTGCTTATTTCAACCTTTTATCACCTAATACGCCATCTTGAAAAAACCAGAATATACTACAAGATGCAACGTGAAAAGCTCTACGACCTACATGATGAATCTTATTTTAATTATGTACTTTTTGTTCTAAAAAAAATGCGCGATCACTTTTCACAGCGTCGAAAATTGGTCTCACCAAATTTTGCCCGCTTTGAAAACAAAATGTACACAATTAAAATAAGCTTTACTATGTATATTATAGAGTTTTTCAGACTGCATCCTGTGGTATATTTTCTTCTTTAATATGACATATTTGATGATGGGAAAATAGAATGCAAAATGTGGACATTTATTCTGACTCACCCGTTATTTCAAGAAATTCATAGGAGTTTTAAGTTACTTATATCTCTGTGACTATAAGAAGCCGAAAGCTGAAATTCTAGTTCTGGTTATCTTACTCTATATTTCTGTTTCTTAATTTTTTTCTACCTTGAAATAATGCAATAAAAAGTCTGTTCTATTTACAATGATTAGTTGTATGTATCGGTATCCATAAGATTTCCACCTTCTATGTGTCAAAACAGTGTGCTGTCGTTTATCTGTCCACATAGGTATGACTTATAACCAGCGACTGTTTTATTTTCATTTCATATACTTTAATTCGTTAAAACGAATGAATATCCATGTTAAAACGCATTCATTCGACTAATTTGCCTATTGCGTACGTTAAAACATGATCATTCATCTAATATCTTCATTTAATTCGTGAAAATGCGTTATCTGCAAAAAACACCCGTTTACACTCATTGATTTCTCTTATTTGTCGAGTGAACGTGTTTTAAAGCGGTTTTTTCGTCGGTTTTCAACATCAATGCATCAAAACAACGTTTTTGCCATTTATCTGTCTGCGTGGGTAATCACGAATTAAATTATTAAGATGAAAACGAACACGCTAAAATATACATACACTGGCGCTCAAGGCTGATCGTACCTTTAATAGATCACTTTGTTGTTTAGTACCTTAAGCGAAGTTCAAAGTATTTGGATATCATTTTTGACCAAACATAATCTATGCTTTATAGTTTATTTTCGCCCTGTAGGAGCTTTTTCCTTCATGAACTTGTTGTGATAAATGAAAAGAATAAAAATGATGTCCTCTATTTAGTTCAAAATTGATCGTACATTTCATACAAGAATCAGCGTATATTACACAATAAAAGCCATTCATCTTACAATTTGAAAAAGAAAAACATAATACAAAGGTGTTGTTATTGTAAAAGCTAGAAAAGCTTCGTCAAAACACCTGTATAGAATGCTTTTTTCAGCTCGAGATCACAAAATGAACGATTTTTTATTGTGTAATATATGTCAATTTTCGTCTGAAAATATACGATCAGTTTTGAGGGCAACTATTTGCGCAGTTATATCGTTCCTAATTAGATATTATTACGCGGTAATTTCAACTTTATGTTGTTCTTCTTACATAAGTATTCAGAAATGAAATGCTATTTGTAAGAAATATCGTAGAGTAATAAATATGAGGACTATTTGAGGAAAAATTTGTTTTTTTGAGTCAACGTTAGGAGCGACCGTTCAGCGAAAAGGTTGTAGGACGGTGGTCGCCTTCTCCACCACTTCAACGACTAACATGTCCTTTTGTGCCGCCCCCGTCGTGGTTTTTAGGCACGGTGCACGTCTCTGATTTGCGTTCTAGCACTGCATTTAAATTGTATTTCAGAAAAATGAACTGTAAATATATATGTATTCTGAATATAATACGATGAGATAATTGATAAAGATTGAATATTTAATTGATCTAAATTAAATTCGACACAGTAATATGAAGAAGTTAGAATTTTATCAATCAATATAATTTCAATACGACATATATATAAATTTATTTAGTATGGTATTGCTCAACTCGTAGGACGTCATTTTAGTGATACTACTATAAAAAATCCAAAAACTACGTCTCATAAAAAACAACTGAATTTTTTCGAAAAAATTAATGTCTTATGGTCAGCACCAATAACAAAATTTTATACAAATTTTGTTTGTTATATTGCATTTTTATGTTTTTTTACATTGGCTGTTATGTGGCCATCATGTGGAAATTTACTACTTGATTTCTTTGTTTGGTTTTGGGCAGCAACAATTGCTTTCGAAAATATCCATGTTACTTATCAAAAATGTTATGTAAGAATCTTTGTACAATAAAAAGAAACCTGAAAAGATTTAATATTCTGAAATTTTAGTCTCGAAGTAGTTTATCTATACGACAACCTGTATTAGAAATTATCGTACAAATTATATTTCTGGCACTTTTTCTTGGTTTTAGAATAGTTGGTTTATGGCATTTTGGAAGTAACAGAGTAGATAAAAGCTATAATTAATTTTTTTTTTTTGCTTTTTTTTTTCAAATAGCTTGTCAAATTGTAGCATCAAAAGCAATCTTAGGTGTTGGATTAATTTATTATTATTATCGATTATTATTTATTTTTTTACCGATCAGTTCAAAACTTGGCCCGTTGATGATTCGACTTCAATATATGGTAATTTAACTATTAATTTGTTTTTTTTGCTGGTTTTTCTGAGAATATCATTATAGATCACGGATGATTTTTTTACATTTTTACAATTATTTTTAATATTTATGATATCATCTGGTGTTGCAATAACAGCTGTACTTTATCCACATCATCCACTTAATTTAGAATTATTTTCAACAGCTTTTGTATTTCGCGGTTTAATGGCATTATTCAGTGGTGATACGAGTGATTTAAAACATCAACGTGCACCATGTTCAATAAATGCAACAACTAAAATAGAAAGAGAACATGCTTGTTTAAGATTATCTCATGGTCTTTCATTTAAATGTAACAATTATATTTTGTTTTGTTTTAATAAGAAAATATATTTTCTTTTGTTTGTTCTAGATGACAATCTTTATGCATACAAACGATATGGAATATCATCACGAAATTGCAATCAAACATCATGGATAGCATGGTTTTTGCTTATACAATATTTCTTTTTAGCTAAACGTTTTCTTACATCACTTTTAACAGCGATGTTTGGGTATATTTATTTAGATAAAATCAATTCAAGTCAGATAACTGAATTGTTTTTTTTTCTTTTATTAAATTAGTTTAACTGGAGCAAGAGTACAAAGTCAATCTCAACAAATTTGGTTGTATAATCGATATGAAATTCTCATGGAATATGCTAAACGACCACGTTTACCTCCACCTTTTATTATTATTTCTTATATCAGTAAGACGATTGTAAATATTTTTTGAAGGAAAGAATAGTTAAATTTTCATTTAGAAAAATGATTTTAAAGTGTTTAGTAGTCACACTCACGAAAGAGTTACTTGAGCTGTTGCTCACCATTTGACTTCATATAAAAGTTTTAGCATGGCTAGAAAACCTTGAAAAGAGTTGTTGCCTATGAATCTATAGAGTAGAATCTTTCATGTTAGTCTGGTTCAAAAAATTTTGAACTTGATTGACTTCATTCCGATACTAAGTTGTGACTGTTTTATCAAATTTTCGATTCATTGTCAAATATTTATTGAAGAATCAAATAACAGAATTTCGATCTACAAATTTTGATTATAAATTAGTCTAATGATACTAAAAATATCCTAGAAGTTTTAACCAAAAAAGAAAAATATTTCGTTGTTGAGAAGTTGATTTTCTAATCAAACTCAATTTTCGTGACATGTTTTTTGCAAGTGATGACTTAGTTGAAAATTTAATAGTTCAATAAACAAAAGATTATTTTTTGGCTAAAACTTATATGATATTTTTCAGCATCATAAATCTATCTATGGGCTAAATTTGATAAATTTTAACAAAACATATAAATCTTTTTCTTTTTACAATAGTTATGCTAATAACAAGTTGTATTTCTCGATGTTTGCTAAAATTAAAAGACTATACTGATAAGAAAAATGTTTCTACAATTCAAACTCTGACACAATTGACTCCAAGAGGTATAAATATTTACTATACTAAAAAGAAAAATCGAAATATTATTATTCAATTTATTTCAGTAACAAGAACTAATGATACAGATGAATTTAAGAATACATCAAATAAAGTAATTCAAAATCGTTCAATACTTCAACGTTTACTTAGTTGTAAACCATGTCAAAAAGTTATAAAAAATCATCAAAATAAAATTGTATTTAGAATAAATATTTTCTTTTATATTTAATCATTAAATATAATTTATTCTAGAATGAGGATAAAAGTAAATTGGAAAATAGTGAAACTAATGTATATTGGAAATATAAAGTTAAAGAATTTTATGATAAAACACAAGCAACTGATAAAGTACAAGAAAAACTTGATAATTTATCTAAATGGTAAAAATAAAAAGAATTTTTTTTTTATTTTTCTTCATAAAAAAAAATTAATTTTAGTACAATAAATATGCAAAAAGATATTGATATACTACGAAAATCATTACGACATATTAGTGATCGTGTTGTTACATCAGAAAAATTACTGATTGATTCACAAATATTACTTGAAAAAATTCATTCAACAATTAAACAAGAAAATAAATCATTACCTGTATATCAAAAATTTATTCATATTTTATCAAGAGAATCACCATATATTTTTACAAATGAAGCACGATTTCCAGTTACAGAAAGATATATTCCTTGGAAGGTTATTTTCATTTTTTTTTTGAAAGAAATTTAATAGAAATTTGAAATTTTTAGATTTCATTTGATTTATATGATCCAACAGTAATTTCATTACCAAAACAACATGATTGTTTTCAAGACTATGAACGACTATTTGTTGAATCCGATTTGTAAGTTTGGTTTTTTTTATTTAATTAAACTCCGATTATATTTCAATTGGATTTAATTAGAACTATTGAACCATCAGTGACAACAATGACTGATATTACTAATCCATTAATAGATTATAAATGGAATCAAGTTGTTGAATCACAACTATCCGACGGAGAAAAGGTTTTTCATTATGTTTTTTTTTGCCAAATAGAATCATCGAATTTATATTTTTAGATCATTATTGATCGAACAACTTGGATTGCAACTTCTGAAGATAAAACATCTTCGGTTTATAGATTAGATAATCAATTATCAATACCTTTGTATATAAATATATAAAATCCTATATGTAGATTTATATTTCATATTTCTATAGGAATCCCATGGGTCGTACAGGTTTACGTGGTCGTGGTGCATTAACTCGATGGGGACCAAATAAATCTATTATGACTATAATAACACGATGGAAAAAACATCATGATCAATTTGCTGCTATTGATGGACAAAGAATTTTAGAAGCTTTAGTCTTTAAAGATAAATATGCAAATGGTTGGAAATTACCTGAAGTATTTTTAATTTTTCTTTTCGAATCAAACTTCTTTTTTCTTTTGTTTTTAAGGCAAAAATTTTAGGTATCGAATCTCAATATGGTGCTATATGTCGTAGTTTTCAAGAGCTTGCTTTTAAAGATAGTGATTCTGAACATAGGTTTTCATTTGAAGAAAGTGATATGATTAAAGTAAAATTTTATTATTGAATTTTTTTTGATAGTTAATTAAAATAAAATCATATTTAGTATTTTGAATCATTTGCTCGTGCTTCACTTTCTACTTTTGAACCAACTGGATTTAAATCTCATATGGTCTATCGAGGTAATTCAAAGAGATTTTCTTTTTTTTTATTGTTTTAGTTAAAATTTATTATTATTTCAGGATATATTGATGATTTACGTAATACAGATAATGCTTGGGTAGAAGCAGAAATATGGAATTTTCATTACGATTCAAACATACCATTTCCTAATTTACGTCAAGATGTATGTTTATTGTTTTCAATCTAAAATGAAATGATTATTTTTTATAATGTATTTATTTAGGGTGTGGCAATATGGAAAGATGTAACGAATAATTCTCGAGGTTTTCTTATTCAAACATCAATTCTACGTGAAATAACTCGAATTCATCAGGCTTTTTTTGAGTGATTAATAATAATAATAATAATAATACATCTGATGCGACATTCAGAACATCATTTATTCATTTATTTATTCCATAAAACAATATCAATGCATTCTTTTTCTCTCTCGCTATTTGTGTAAATGATAATCTTTTACTGTTTTTTTTATTCGCTTTTTTTTATTTGCCAGTGTGATAAAACTTGTTTATTTCGGGCTAACAAGGAAAGATATCCAAGTATGACGAATCATTTTGAATCGGATCCATACCAGTTTGGACAGCTCAATGAGCTGATTCTTGTGTCATAAAGCGTTCTTCCTCGCGGGACCTTTTACTAGACAGAACTAATCAGTTCTAGTCATGGGAAATCACATTCGAGACACTGAACATTGAAGCTTTATATGCATTAGCAGAGTAGAGATGAATAGACTAAAAGCTGCCCAATGATGTCTTCATTTTTATATTACAATGTTGCTATCATTAAACATATTCATTGCCTACATATTATGCTATGAAAAACATCGATAATTCTGACTTAACATTACAGTTTGAGCGCTTCTTTATTGTTTACAGCTGTCATTTATTCCATGCTGGATTTCTCGAAGAAAAGCATGCGAAAGAACAAGCAGATCGATATTCGCACACTCAGACTTTAATAGCCGACAACGCTTAAATTAAAGGTGTATGAAATAATGTTCTCTCAGAATCATTGATGTCTGTCATAGCATAATATGTAGACAGCACGTATGATTAATGAAAGCAACATTGTAACATAGAGATTAAAGGGTGTGGGTATCGAAGAAGTAAGCAATCATACCCACATCAGCACCCATATCCTCAAGTTTTCAGATCTAAAGGTAGAACATAAAACGAACGATAATTGAGACACAACAATCTCTCTTTCAGTATTATAGTTACTATTATTATATTGCAATAAGCGTGTGGATGTGAATACTGAGATTGTCGAAATAGAGCTGCATGGTATAGTGTATCAATAGGATTCGATATCGTAAATGTCATATACAGAATAATTTTCACAAATGACTTCTTATTTAATTGTCGATCATGTTGTTGAAGATGCATTTTTTCTGAATTTCGATAATATCACTCGTCTTGATGCTATCTTGTAGTAGTAGTAGTAAGAGGATATGCATAATACGCCATATGTTGTATACAGCGTTGGAACCGGTCCGGTGGAGATTGGAATTTCACCGGTTGAAAGTTTTCAAAAATCTTCTTTGTTAACTTTGTTTTTGACCATAAAAACTTAGATGTCACATATTTTTTCTGTCAGAATGAGTAAAATAGTGCTCAAAACATATGTTATATTAATTGTTTTTTCTGAGGTTCTCTTTAAAAAAATTCATTATGATGAGTGTCTTTTACATGCGCCCTAAACCATTTTTCTAAAACTCGGTTTTCAAAAAAATTCGACATTTTTCTATCGGTTTTCATCGGAATTCCACCAGTTGAACATGTGATTCCAACTGGTCGATTTCTGGTCGAATCGAACCAATGGGATTTTTAAACCGATCGAACATGATCGGTTTACCATTTCTCAAACGGTTCCAACTCTGGTTGTATATTTTTGTAAACTAAAAACCTGAGTATACTCATTAAACTAGTCGGAAGTATAGCAGCAACAAAACAAATATAAATCGAATGACAAAGAACTGCAGTACTTATTCGCATTAAACATTTTCCATTTTGAATAGTTGTTGTCAGTAGAATATGTAGTAGCATAATAAACCAAATAATAGGAATAATGAGAAAAACTTGTAAAACAATTTTTGATCGACACAACTCACATTTTCGAACATTCCTTGATGATTGAGCATAAAAATATAATACAAGACTACGATGTTAAATAAGATCGTGAGATCACCAATAAAGCATTTTGAAATATATCAACAAAATTTACAATAAATAAGATAAATCATAACGATGTAATATTGGTAATTGAAGCAGCAGCAAAGAAGAACGTAACGATTTTTTGAAGAGATATAAAACAATTAAAAATATTTTTATAGACATCAACAACAAAAAGTACTCCCAATACAACTGTGCAGATATTGTTGAATAAGATTCAGCGTAGTGATCACGAACATATCTTGTTTTCTTATGAATAAAACAGAATCAAAACTATTTTAAAAATCTGAAATGATGAAAAACAAAAAAAACAAAAATTCTTTCTTCATGTAGATGATTATGTTGTTGAATATAACGGATGATTCAGAATAAGTGATCATAGTTTCACTACTTGCTTAATATTTTTGTTTACTTTTAAAGTTTCGAAATTAATTTTATTTTTCTAAAGTATAAAGCGTTCAATTCTCGTCAAAACGGCATGCAATTAAATTTAATAGAAATAGAACTAAAATATTTCTAGGAGTGATACTATAAATATCAAACATCGACAACTTTCAAATACGAAACATGGCATATTGTATTTCGATGTACAACTTATCTTGCTTCAATAGTGACAAAACGCACTTTTTATTTTGTACAACTTTAAATATTCTTTCTTTTTGGAGTTATAAAAATGTTCAACAGAAAATATTTTAGAACAAAATAATAAAGATAATTTATTGTTCAACTGATCGAAAACTGGCCGCGTTCGGTAATGTTAGGAATCCATGACCTAGGCTCTAAGCATGTTTGGAATGAGAAATAACCATCATCTTTAGGAGAATAATCGCAGTACGAATTTTCTGCTAGGAATTTTGAAAGTTGGATTTAATAAACCCACTAACTAACAATGAAGACCTCACATTCATATGGCATTTGGCAGAGAACATCTAGAGGCTACATTACTGATGGAAAAAAAATTGCGAAATTTTTGATTTTCATGTTCAGAAAACAGGAGGAGGGGGGTGTAATGTTACTCGGAAACCTACAAGCAATGTTTTAGCTATAGAAGAAAATCAATGCAGAAAAATTACTTTGATAATTGTTAATGTTTCATGTTTGCTTCTACCTCTTTAAAATTCATTTGCATGCAATTTTCTAGAAAATTGAATGCTCTATGTTCAAGGAAAATTTTAGATTTGAAATAAAGATAAAAGTAATCTTTATCGCTGAACTAGGGCGTGGGTGTGGATGTGTGAGGGTGTTGGGTTGTGGGTGTAAGTGTGGGGTTGGTGTGGGTGAGTATCGGTGTGGCTCTGGATAAATTAAAGATTAACACCCACACCCACCCCTACTTATTCACCGCTGAAATGACGTTATAATACAGTCAGTGGGAAAAATACCCAAATCAGAACGCAAGAAAATGATCCAACCCATGTACGGTCCTAAATATGCCGCTTTTGATCATAACTACTTGTGAAATATGGTGTATGTATTTCAAGTTAACAACATAGTAACATAAGAAAGCAATATCGTACAACTGCTAATGATAATATTTCGATAGAAAATAATTTGTTCCATAGCAAAATATATATTACCAATCGACTCGCCATGATCAAAAACATCGTTAATAATAATTTGAAAAGTATTTTACGCAAGATAAAATGGAGAAAAAACTTGATCAATTGTTGTTCGTGTTTGATTCATAACTTTTAAACGGATTGAGATAAAAGTTTCGGCCTTTCGTAGATTTGTAGCTCGTCAGCTGACGATTCTAGTCCACTTCTTAAAGCTAAAGACATGTCCTATCTTCATAGCGCACCCAGGTCAAATACAACGGTCCGTAAACGGCCGTAAACGTTGCCAAAACGGCGGTCGGTACGACCATCGTTTTTCGCCGTTATTGAGTCTTATTCCGTCTATTAGACAAAATCGTTGTTTACGTGTCATAACATAGATTAAAGTGCCTTATTATTGCTTCTTCTTGTAATTTACTAAATTTAGGTTAATTTCAACATTGAAGTGAACAATAAGTATTTATTTCAAATAAAGAAATTTTCTTTTCTTTATTTAGATTCATCTGAAGATCGAAATACACAGCAAGTATTTTTTAAAATAAATTTTTGTTTATTTTTCTTTATAGACTTATTTCAGCATCGATCTGACCAGTAAGTAGTTCTAAATAAATAAAGAATTTTTTTTCTTTATTTAGATTTATCTCAACATTGACCTGACCAGTAAGTATTTCTAAATAAATAAAGAATTTTTTTTCTCTATTTAGATTTATCTCAACATCGACCTGACCAGTAAGTATTTATAAATAAATAAAGAATTTTTTTTCTCTATTTAGATCTATCTCAATATCGACCTGACCAGTAAGTATTTCTAAGTAAATAAAGA